CAGAGGACATACAACTGCATCACAGTTTGGTTTATTTAGCTTTGACACAATCCGAAGGCACCTGGTGAGAGGTAACGTTCGGTACGTGCAAACGTCTGAGTGCTCTTCTTGTTTGAGAATTTGACCTTTAAGCATGTGTAGGTTTCCCTTTTATCTCAGGTCTGCAGCCTTTCTGCATTTCTTCAGCCTTGCATTTGTGGCATGCAGGCAGGGCAGTCTTGTGGCCTGCCCAGAAGACCACTGTAGCCTGTTGTGTAGCCTGCCTACAAGATGTATTCATCTACCTTACTCTGGAATCGGGACAAATTCCTAATTATGCACAAGGTTTAAAATAACTGCAAGTAGTTTGAACCTCCTGCTACAACTATAAAAATGAAAACTTGGGCCATTTTAAAAACAAAGTGCTGGAGAGACACTTCACTGCTGAAAAGTCTTGAGTTGTACTTTGGTGGATATGGTTGGACTCAATGATTCTAAAGGTATTTTCCAACCTAAATGCTTCTGTGATTCTATAAATGGAGGGAGACTTCTGTTTTCATAGCTGCTGTCCAGCTTAACTCCTGGCTGGTTCCAAAATTCAGGTTTGCAGGGAAGTTGTACCTTTGAACAAGTGGACTGTACTGTGAAACAGTGGTCGGCAGCTTTGCCAACAAAAATGTCCTGTAGAAACCAACGTGACTGAAAGCAGAATGTATTTTTTTTCTAAAGAATCTTTACTATCACTACAACAACAGTTCTACCTTGGAGAATGAGTGCTGACAGTGTGTAAGTTTTTTTGTAGGTACAGCTCAGTTCTGACTCAGAACTCTTTCCTTTTAACTTAGAAATATTGGGATTTCCTGTCTAAACCCAGGTTTTATTTCCTGGTGCAGCTGAGACAGATGAGCAGTAGGAAGCTTTGCATTTGCAAGGACTGGAATCAGATGCCTACTTCTGGTTAGATGTGCTATAGGGAACCCTGACTATAAATGCTGGCTGCTGATTTAGAATCACAGAATGGTTTGGTTTGGAAGGGACCTTAAAGATCATATAGTTCCAATAGCCCTGCAGTGGGCAGGGACACCTTCCACTAGACCTCAAAGCCCCATCCAACCTGGCTCTGAACACATCCAGGGATGGGGCATCTGCAGCTTCCTGGGCAACCTGTTCCAGTGTCAGTTCTGCAGTGTCAGAGAGCAGCAGCCACCAGAAAAAAAGGTATTCCCGTGTGATGTTTTGAGGTCACAGCACAGTGTGCCACTTGAATAGCCTGAGGACGGGTGGATTAGTGTGAGAAATAGTAATAAGAAGCAGCAGATGTCTTCGTGGGGAGGAGCGTGGTTCCCGGGCCGCTGGGGTAGCGCGGTTGCGCGGAGGTGTGAGGCTCTCCTCCTGTGGCTGCCTGTGGGTTGTGTGCTGCCTGTACCGGAGGTGGGGGGCTTTTGGTGGAGTTACCTCCCCCCCGCCCCGAGAAGCTCAGGCATTTTGAAGAATTGTTTAGATTTCAGGTGAAAAGTAATTGTATGGATTGGTAAACTTCAGGCAAGTTGAGTACATGAAATAAGAGAAGATGGGCTTTAAAAAGGGAAGTGGCTGGGCAGTCCTGGTTCAAATGCCTCACTAGCATTCCTGTTTACTTTTCAAGATATTTTCTGACTTCTGTTATTTACAGATAAATCTGCTTGTCCAGTTTGTTTTTCTCTCTTGATCAAGAAAGTGTATTTTTTCTCTTCTCCCTACCCCCATCCAGTCAGCCTCTTCAGTATTGCTGCAGCAGTCTAAAGCAGTATCCCTTCACTCTATAGCCTGTGAAATTCAGAATGTCTTTCTTAATGACTTCCAAGAAGAAAATGTAAAAGGACAGATTTTTTAAAAAAATTGATTGGAAGGCTTGTTTTTTTGCTAAAGTATTTGCATGTGCATGTCATTGAGACCACTATCTAACAGATTGCTTATAGTCAGTAGAAATTGTTGGGTTTTTTTCTCTTTTTATCTTATCTGTGACACTTATCAGCATTTTACTTCCAGCAGCTTTTGTAAAAGCACTGGTAGAAAGACACTCTCAGTGAAATGCTTTTATCAATGCTTCCATTAATGCTAGAGGTTTTCTGGGTTGTAGGTTTGGATGATCTCATTCTGTCACTCAGAATTAATGCGGAGGTATTACATTAGAATATGAATGCTCAGCTTCCAGCATCTTTAGTTGCCTGCAAAATATTCCTCCTTTGTGTCTTTTAACCATTTCTTTCCAGTCGTTCTATCCATTTGTGCTGGTTCTGTAATCAGTATTCATGCTGTGCTCCACTTATTAGAAAAAATGTGTTTCTTGAAGTGCAGGACGTAGTAAATGTAAATAAACGGTGAGAATGTGGCAGAAAGTGTTGTTGACTATTCAGAATAAATTAATTTTTAGTCACATTGTGGATTTCAAGGTATCCATGTGATTCCACCTTCTAGGTATTCCACCAGTATTATTAGGCCATTCACACTATGACCTCTACCAAAAAAAAAGAAAAAAAAAAAAGGCATCTCAAAAATACATATTTCCACAAATACAAAAAAATGAAACAGAACTTGTAAGTTCTTGTCCACTTGACTTACCTCATGTCAAAACTCAGTCCAGTCTGTTCCTCCCCTTGCTTGGCTGCTCAGGAAGATGAAAGTGGTGGTGGATGTGGTAGCACAGAAAATGCCATCTGAAAATGATGTTCATGTAGCAAGAAACTATCTTATGAAGATCTTGAGAAGTTCCATGAGGTATGGTACTGACTTTACAAGTGCATCCCTCCTGTTCCTTCCCAGTGATTGGATTCCTCCTACCTTTTGCCCAGCCCATAGCAAACCGTTGCAGAAGCCCTCTTCCCAACCTGCATTTCCTTATGCTCCAAACAGTGCTTGTGTTGTGCTAGATTTATAGTCTTGTGTTTCCTTAGAGATGCAACATAGAATAGTAATTGTCTCATAATAGATAATGTTTTTGCTGAATTCATGCCTAGGAGGTCTATTGAATTTACCTAAATAGGTACTTGGGGTTCACTGAGCTGGTGTCAGTACTGTTAGAGGTGAGCTGCAGGGGAAAAAACTGTTCATGTTCTGCACAGCTGAACAGTGGAACAATTTTTTTTCCGTACCTGAACACAGGCTTGGAGCTCTTGGAGTATGCAGGGACTGTCTGGAGCCCATCATCTCAGGGCTGAGCAGGATCTTTTGCACTTGTTTGCACTAAGAATATTTTGGTTTCTCCACTCTCTGAATTTCATATTATACCAAGAAAGAAGAATATAGTGATGCTCTGCTTAACTGTTTTCTCTGTTGACATACTGGAAAGAGTAGGCTTTTGTTTATGGAAACATTTACTTCTTTTTTTAGTGACAGTAATAATGCTACACTTCGTAGTGAAATTACAGCTTCCCTGCAGAATTGTTATTCTTCTTTTGTAATCCAGAGTTTGGAAAGGCAATTCATGATTGAATTCATCAAATCTTCCTGAATGTGATGCAAAAAGCCAGGTACTGAAATCTGACCTGTTTTGAAGATACTGGGTTTATAATGAGCTTTAGTTTTCTTCTATAAATCCAGTGGCTGTGTGATAACTCAATTCATAGAAAAGAAGAATGAATAAAAAACCCCATAGAACTGCGTTTAGAATTCAAGTTGAAACTAGGGAACACGTTCTCAGTTTAGCAAATTTTGTAACACAGACAAATTCCTTAACCTTGCAGTAATAACTTCATAAACACGTAAAAGCATAAAAAACAAAACAAAACCAACCAACCAGAAAAAAAAAAAAAAAACCACTCAAAATCTAAGGTCCTATAGGCCTCTGTTTCAGACTGATTTGGAAGGATGGGATCTGTCTGGCCTTATATGTTGTCTAAATTTTAAATTATACTTCCTCCAGGATGAACCAAAAAGAAGGATAGGGTGAATTACTTTCAAGAAGGTCCTGCTTAATTTCTGGGTGACTGACAGAGAGGGTCTACACCAATGGCCCATAGTTGGCATTTGCTTACTGAGACAGAAGCTGCTGAATTCCACCCAGAAAGCTTATTTAACACTGGGGAAAAAGGAGAGCACTTATTTCTTGAGTGCCAAGAGGTGTTACAAGCAGCAAGTCCTTGGAGGGAAGTGCAAGCTGTTGTTACTAATACCTGAACAGAAGGAAGGGCCAGAGAGCATAAAGCAGCTTTGCAGAAAGGTTTACGAAGTTCTGAGCTCTAACAACTTTTGTTGCACTTCTTAGAAGAGATCTCTTCAGTGACATGAGCATGTATGTTTGGAGGTGATATCCATGTAGATATTTGGGGTCTTAAATGAATTGCTGAACTGCTTTTGAGACGTGTTCTTTAAAAACAACCCCTGCATACCTCGGGTGCCAAACCTTTTGAAAGCTGAAGCAGAACTGGAGTTAAAACTTTTAGTTATATCACTTACTAACTTGTATGAGACAGTGTACATGGCTTTATTCCCTCCTGTCGTTATCTCTTAGTCCCTCCTCCCATAAGCACGTGCCTGCAGTAGAAACTTGCCAAAGCCCTACTGTGCTGTTGTCGCATTGTAGGAGTCATAAGTCTCAGTATTAGCTTTAACTGTTAAAGCTCTGGACATGTGTCAGGTGCTTTAAAATGTGTTTGCTTGTCTCTGCCCCTCATAAAAACCGTCTCACCCTTCAAAACGAACAAACAAACAAAATTGTAAAATAAAATCCAACAACAGCAAAACAACCCCAAACGAAAACCAACAAACAAACAAAAAAGATCCAGCCCCAAAACCCCCAAGCACAAACCTTAGGGACTATTGATGTTTCACCGCATCTCAAGCACTTAAAGGAATGCTGGTGTCCTTTCAAAACAGGCATGCATGTGGGAAGTCATCTCACTTGCTGTCACTTAGTCATTTTACCTCAGTCCTGTCCGTGTAGCGTTTGACAACTGCCCTGGTAGACTTTTTTTTTACTGTGTGTCACATTACTGAACTGTTTGCATTAAACTAGTATGCTCTACCTCTCTCGTTTTTAGAAGGCATGACCTCGCCTGCAGGCCTCACTCCTGGCACGCAACCAAATTTACAGAAAGTCAGCCCGAGACGGCCACGTCACACCTTCCCCCGGCCAATGCCTGCGTTTCCTGGCACTCGCGCTACCATGCAAGGTGAGTCTCTGCTGAAGTTACCCAGGCCGAGCTCCGGCAGCAGCACAGGGGTAACGTAGCTCCTGGCGTTGACTGCTCTGTAGATCGGGGAGCGCAGCGTCGCCGTGCTACACGCCTGTAGGATGGCCTGGCCTTTCCCTGCGTGAAGGGGGAGCACGGGAACCTGGGCGTTTGCATGAGTGGATTTCAGAAACGGTATGCGATGTTTACGTGTGATTGAAAGGTAAGAAATGGACTTTAAAGACAGGCAAAAGGTGATGTTTCTTGCTCTGCATTTCCTTTCGGTGTCCACTGGTAAAATTCTAAACATTTATAAGCAAAAAGAAACCATCAGAATTGATATACTTTAAGTGAAATAGTGAAGGGAGAAGAAACTGAAAAATACTGCTTCAGACTATTAAAAAGCCCTTTCCAAAAGGGAGGGTGCAGCATATTTTCCTGGTGGACTTTAAGATATTCCTGGTTTTATTATTTAAACTACCTTCCTGTAACCTGATCTTCCCTACAGCTGTGCTCTTGCTTGTCCACTGAGGTAGTAACACCAATGATTTTCAGTCTCTGTTTAAAGCACCTCAATATTTGGTAGGTCTCATTTGGCACTAGGGGAGAAAGGCTGGCACTTGTGCAATGTAAGCTGTGAAACTTTCAACTTTTAGGTAAATCCTGTTTGTGTCTGGTTATAGGTTCTTGTTTCCTGCTCATAGGTGACATTCTTCAGCATTTTCACAACAGTTCGTTTTGAGTTTTTTTCTTTTGCTGCTTTTGTCCTTTCAGTCCTTGTTGGGCCATAGTAACACTGAGTGTTAAGGCAAATTAGTCTGGTACATAATCCCAGTTTGGAAAGTAGGCTTGTGTTTTCTATACTTCCTGCTGTACATTCTCTGTCATTTCTCTTGATGTTAATTCATCATGGCTGTTGAAACAGAAAAACATATGTATTTTAAGGTGTTATTTGATTTTTCATGTTTTTACAATCATTTTTACATAGTGTATTTTCTTTAGAACCTCCCTGCTGCTTTTAAAATAATTTGCTCTCTGACCTTGAGTAAAGTATGAATGTTATACTTAAACAGAAAGGCTTTTAAAATACATTTTGCAATGTTTCATTAGCAGAAATTTTAGCACATTATATCTCTCAAATCCTCAATAACAATTGCTGCTGGTTTACACTGATTTAAAGAGTTTGTATTTAAATTTCAGGTAGATGGGCTAAATTAGATTTATAAATGTGAAAACAATGAAATTACTTGTACATAGCAACAGAATTACATGATTTCTCTAGAGTTCCTGGTTGCAGTGCTGCCTGAAGAGTATTTCTACTTTTGCTTTACTGTGTCTTCTCACAGAGCTATAAATCAGTACATGTTCCTGATGGTTGTCCTTGTACGTTGTGAAAGTGAAATATTAGAGGGCACATGTCTCAAAGTAGAATTTTATAGTAGCTGGGGAAATCACAATATTTAATAAAGGGGGAAAAGTTATTAATTTGCTTCAAAGCCAGTTTCAAATGAACTTTGGACAGAAAATTGTGGGTGTAAAGGAAAAGTGGGAGGGGAATAGAGCAATCCTGTCCCCACACATGTCAGGAATAGCAGCAACTGCTGGTAGACATCAGTATTAATAAAAGGGCAAGTTCTGCGTTCTTGGACACCGCTGAAAGATGTAGTGGCTTTAGCACAGTCTAATACCAGGGTTCCCAGGGCACTGAGACATTGAACCCCTTGTCTGCCTGTGCTGCCCACTCAGAAGAGGGTGTATCTGGGAGACCTGTCAGTCCTGCTCTCTGTTGCCCAGGACAGTTCCAGTGTCAGAGCCAACTTCGGGCTGTACTGCTGGAGGCCCAGCATTCCCAGAGTGCTAGCCCAAGGATTTGGGTGTTTTGAGGATCCCAGCTGCAGAGGGAGGGTCCTTTGGGCTTATTGTCTGTAAAATCAGAAAGTGAGTGCTTTCAGAGGTTCCCTGCTCCCAGAAGCACAGTTCACAAACAGAGGGGCACTGTGCACTTTAAATCGAGCACCAGGCTGAATGGGAGGTGCAGCAATCAGTAGCTGGAAGCAGCAGTGTGCAAGCAGATAACAGTAGTAGCCCTAGGAGGGGGTATTTGTAGCCCAAGGAACTCATCCTTGGGCTATTTCTGGAATTTCTTGTCCTTCCCTGAGCTAAGCATCTGAGACTGGTATTCAGATGCCAAAATCTCTTCTGAATGTGCCTGCCTGTATTCACTCTGAGTGTGAAAACTAAATCACTTGTAAAGCATAGAGAGTTCAATCAGGAGGAGAGATTCTTTTGCTCTCTTCCAAGGAGGATATATGTGGGTTTTGTGTGTTCTGGGGATGTGGCGCAGATGGACAAAACAACCCTCAGAAAATTGCCCTTGCTACCTAGGTAGATGCTAATTTGATTTTGGGGTGGGGTGCGGGGGTTTGCCATTGTGAATTTGGACTTGGAGAAGGTACATGAAGCTGGAGGAAGACATACATGCTAGAAAACAAGGTACCAGTATAGATAGGAGAGAGGGTAGTTCTGGACTCCATTGCTTCACATCCACCACTATATTTGTTTTTTTATCACGTGACTTCAGTTCAAAAACTGTAAGCTCTCTTGGGAGCACTAGGCCAGGTATAGGTGCCACTCATGCAAGCCTAGAGAGTTAGACCTTAAAGTATTTGGTTCCTTAGTTTCCCTCTGTGAATCTTCTGTCTTCTTCACAGAAGTTGTACCTTGACAACCTGGATGCAGACATTTTTCCTAGACCACTGCAGATGAAGGCTGAGTGCCTTCATATCCTCTGGGAGGCATGGGTATGAACTATCTTAAGTTGCTGGAAGTTTAGACCTTACATTTTCTGCCAGTAGGCTATGCTGTAATAAAGGACCTTATAATATTTTTTTTTTTGTGCCACTTGGTGTACAGTTGAAGCCACCAACCTCTTCTACCTCGTTCTGGCCTTACAGGTCTGATTGGGAGACAAGTATGCTTTGAGAAGGCTGTTTCTGGTGCAGTTAGGGTCAGGTACATTTGGTCTGTACTTCGATGTGCTCTGAATGTGGTCTGATTTGCTGAGATGATGTCATTTCTGGGAGGGCCCCACGGAAAGCAGAAACTCATGCCCCACAGTTGCAGGGGGTGCTTATTGGCCAAAGTGGCCAAGGATGGTGTTTGTAGATTATTGCTGGACTTTACCAGCAGTGCTTGGGTGTAAGTGCTTTTGCAAATACCCTCTAAAAAATCCATTGAGAGAAGAGTATCTTGGGATGCCAGGCTCAAGCAGAGCAATGGCTTTTAGACTCTTGATGGGAGGATTGCCCTGCAGTTAGGGACCACAGGAGGCCATGCTTCACAGTAACACACCACCAGAAACTTTCCTGACCTTCCTTTCAAGCTTTTGCTGCATCTGCCACATTTTCACTAGGCATTTTCTGTCACGGCTTTGACCTCTTGTGCTGATGATACCTGCTTCACGTTGGAGACCAGCAGATCTACGTGAGACTTGCAAATGTAAATTGAGGCTTTCCTGGGCAAGCGTCGTAGATATTTTTGTTGACGCCAAGTATCTCCCCAGTGCTGAAGAGAGGGGAAAAATACCAGCAGTTCATAGCAATATCTGGTTTACATTCTTCATTAACAAAGGAGATCCTAGTAATGACCAAGACACTTTTTATGTTAACCACAGTACCTGCCTAAGATGACAATTAAGACCTTTTTAAGTGTTCAGCAAGGTGTTTTAAAATGCAGGAAATGAAAGAACAAAAAACACACAAAGATGAGGCCAGTGCTAGTGTATCTTGTTAATCCAATGCTTTTAGAAAATAAGCACAAAGTATACCTTATTTCATAGAAATTGCTCTTGACCATGTTGTATGAAAAGGCTACAAAGGCTATAGTAATAGAGGGAGGAAAAAAAGCAATTCTCATGTTAATAATGAATTCCAAAGAACTGTTGAGTTCACCTTTGCAATATTTTTGACATAAAAAAAAAGGATCTGTTACCATTTTTTCTATTATTCCTGTGGACAAATTTAATTTCATTGCTGGCTTTCACAGGTTTCTTTACTGCATAAATTTTGATAGGTGCTTCATATAATTATAGCGACAGGGAAGTGGAATGATGCTGGGATTTCTACCAAGGGGCTTTGCATGCAAAAGCACAAATTTGAATTTGGTATATAAAAGCAGGAGGGGCCGCCAGTGAAGTTCAAACGGGGAGATGTGATGAGAATAAGTGGAAAGACTATCGTCTCAGCATCAGTGTGTTGGATTGACAGGAGGTGGGTGCTGTGAAAGATAGAAAAGAAAGAAAACGGAACAAAATTAATTGGGTAGAAAAACAACAGAAGCAGAAAGATTTTGAAATAGTGTCCTAGGCAATGATTCAAAGAAAGTACCTTGTCAAAGATGATGTTTCTATAGAGGAAAGAGAGACAGGGAGGAACTGGTGGCTGTAAGGATTCTTGAAGGAAGGTCAGAAGTCCATTTTTGGCCATGAAGAGCTTACATTGCTGTGGCATCTCCTGTTATTTTCCTGTCAGTGTTGTGGAACTGAGTGGAGCTGAATGACTTTGTTGTGAGGGTGTGTATTCTCACACTAAATCCAAAACGCGGCACTGTACCAGCTACTAGAAAGCAAATAACTCTGTTCCAGCTCAAAGCCAATAGTGGGACAGGGTGTCAACCTGAACATAGTTTGAAATCACATTGGTACAGTGCATGTGGAGGCTCAGAACCAAAATGGTGGCATTTGAGGCAAATATTTGTAGTGAATCTCCATTTAGAAAGGAAAATATTAAATAAATGGGCAGATTTGGATAAACGAGGACAAGGGAATAAATTAATTGGCTGACAAAGGTCAGAGTGAGATTACAAAAGATGATCAGGGAAGTACATGACTTCAATAACTGGAAGAATCATGGTGGCTGGAAAATAAGTTGAAAAATAAGTTGATGTTTGTCCTGTTAAAGAGGGAACTAATGGAGCTCAAACTAAATTTGCCTAAAAGTCAAGTCAGCAAAATGAACAATTTGCAGAGGGGGAGAGAATTCTGGGACATAAATGTGTATTACTTACTGGTAAACTTACAAAGGGAAGTTGGATTAGTTATTAAGGTTTGAAGCTTTGAATCAGTGGCAGTAGTAGAAAGATAAAGCCCTAACTTTGTGTTCAAACTTCCAATTTTATTTGATTGTTTGTCCTGAGTAGGACATGCTATGCAGATGGATCCTAATGTTACTAGAATTGGTGGCTATGTATTAGTAAATACATTGTGGCATTTTTTGACTGGTATGTTTATATTGGGGCTTTTTGTTTGTTTCCTGCCATAGTTGTTCTTCTCATGACCTCTCCAACTCATGGGATCAGTCAAGTCTACATCGCACTTCTGACCAATTCAGCTCTTTGGGAAGTATGGACAGCTGGGACCACACTCCACAAGTAGCCCAGTATGGAAGACTCTCATCTGCGAGGTCTAATAGTAGCATTGATCATCTCGGGAGCCAAAGTAAGCGGGATTCAGCCTACGGGTCTTTCTCCACGAGTTCTAGCACCCCTGACCACACGCTATCCAATGCAGACACTTCTTCAATGGAGAACATGCTGTACAAAGTAGGCCACTGGGAGACTGCTAAGCATGGAAACAAGTCTGGCCAGTTCTTGAATGACAACAGTGGAATAGAGGACAAACCAGGGTATTTGCCAGCTTCCGTCCAATATGAGAACAACAGAAGTCCTAGAATAGAGGAACATCATGATAGCAAACTCGCTAGCTCTGGAAGATCCAGTTTCGGACCTGTCTGGTATGTTCCTGATAAGAAAAAGTCTTCATCTCCTCCCCCTCCCCCTCCACCTCTTCGTAGTGACAGCTTTGCTGCTACCAAAGGCCACGAGAAAGCCCATGGCCCTGTGTACTCGGAGGGTGCCAGCACGCAGCACTTTACAGCCCTGAACCGATCTCAGCCCAGGAGTGACTGGAACTTGGAAACCGTGGAGCAGCAGCAGCGGCCCTCCAGAGTGTGCGACAGGAGGGTCAGCAGCTTGAGTCAGAAACCTGATCTCACTGCAGAGCACAATTTTAATTCGACTGGTGAAAGGTACAGTAGTAATGCAGGACCTGGGAACAAGCTGCAGTCGTCCTTGTCCAGCACTGATATACGGTTTGCACAGCCCACCTACAGCTACCACCACCAGCAGCAGTACAGCGATGAAAGCACTTTTTTTCACAATGCAAGGATCTTAGCTGCATCTAAGGATCAGCAACATTACCTGTCCTCTAGCAGCATTCAGGAGTTACCTACAGATCATTTTCATGGCTACAGTCCAAACCAAGCCAGTCTGCTCAACACTTCTTTGAACAGTGCTGCTGAACAGAAGGTGGACAGCACTGGACAGAGTCGCTATTATTGCGTGACAGCAAAACAGCCTGCTCAGGAAAGCTCAAAGCCACTGCAACTCAAGGACGACAGCTGGAAACCCACAGTGGGGACTGATGAGTCACTTGTACCTCACGAAAGTCCTGCAGTAGTCGCAACGGTCCAAAAACCAAAATACTATCTACCTCAACAATGTGTCGAATCTTCACTGAAAGGGTGTGAGAACAGCAGTCATCACCCTGTGGACAGAGAGGCTGCTAGGTGTGCTGTAGTAGAAGAAGCTAAAAAACCCAGTCACACTGAAAAGTCCGGACAAAAGAAAAACTTTGAGAGCAGCTCTGAGGAAAGCGAAGCTAGGTACGGTCAACAGGAGTATGTAAAGGGCTATGTCCTTGCCACTGAAAACAGATCTGCTCAGAAAGATTCCAGGTGGGGGAAAGATGAAAGTAGCAAGATTTCTCCTCAGAAGACCCCAATGTTGCACTCTTTAGCTCAGGAAGGGAAAAAGCAGTCAGAGAGCAGCCCAGGTGCGGTAACGGAGCGACAGGCCCCGTTTGACACTCACTTGTCTAAACAGGCACGAAGGAGCGATCGTTTTGCAACAACCCTAAGAAACGAGATCCAAATGAGAAGAGCAAAGCTGCAGAAAAGTAGAAGCACTGCTACGTTAGTAGCATCATCTGAAACGGAGGAGTGCAGTGAGACCTGGAAGCCAGATCCAGCAGAAAACGTCACCATCTCCCCGGACACTAACTTTACCAGCACCTACAAAGATCACCTCAAAGAAGCACAGGCCAGGGTTCTCAGGGCGACGTCCTTCAAACGGCGGGACTTGGAGCCCAGCCCTGCTGAATATCTCCCCAGGTCACCTGAGCAGAAAGCTGGTAGTTACAACTCTTCATTATTGGCTTTGGTTTCTGAAGACGTGTCTGGATTCCTCGAGGCTACACAAGCTAAACCGAACCCGACAGGGAGTGGCACTCATCACGTTTCTCGCATTGGAGCCCGGAAGAGGTTCACAACAGAGCAAAAACTGAAGTCTTACTCAGAACCGGAGAAGATTAATGAGGTGGGGATGTCAGAGAATGAGTGCCGTGCTCATGGCCATCCAAATACATCTGAAGAAGCCCTTGGCTCATTTGCAGACAGGTGGAAATTTTTTGAAGAAACAAGTAAGCCTGCATATAGGAAATTGGCACAGAAACCAGCTCCCCACAGTCTAGCTGAGGGACAGCCTGAGAGGCCAGATAGGAAAGCTCACAGTGGGCAAGAGGGAGAGGAGTCGTGGTATGAGAGAAGAGGTCGGGCAGCCTCTATTGGACTTGAAGCTACACATACTTCAAAGGAGAATGAATAGGGTCGCTGATGGGGCTGTGAAATCGGAGCAGCCGCAGCGCCTGGGGACCTTTGCGGAGTATCAGGCGTCGTGGAAGGAGCAGCGGAAGCCGGCGGAAGCAAGGAGCTCAGGAAGGTACCATTCTGCTGATAACATCCTGGATGCAGCCCACGAACAGCTTGAGAAAACCCAGTACATCCACGAGAGGTCTAGATCATCCCCTTCTACTGACTTCTACAAACAGGTACAAGTATTTTTTTGCATTATCCTTTAAATTGCCTGAGGTGGGGGGGCAGTGGAATGGTAGAGGGGGAAAGAGAGAATTTTTGTGAAAAATTCCAGTTTAGGAACACGATGTGTCTGCCTTCTGACAGTAAGGGAATAATCATTATCAGTAGCTCTTCTCAGCAAAATTGGGAAGATCAAAGTTTGTATTGCACAGAAACTGAGTGTAGCAAAGAGGAATTTGATCCAGTAATTTCATGTGTGTTGTAGCCTGATGGAAGCAAACAACCTGTTTGATTTGATAATATCCTCTTTCTTACAGCAGGGGGTATAGGAGGATCAAAGCAATCGTCACCCAGAGTTGCTTCTTCATTGGTGTGGCTGCCTTCTCCGTTTTCAGGCTTTCACTTCTCTGTTACTATGTTCCACAGGGAAATAGTATTTACTTTTGTCCAATTTTGGTAGTGATGTCATTTTCCATGGATTTCATCTTCTAAACTGGCTTGATACAAAAGCTACATAAGACAAAACTTCTGCCTAATAAAGTTTAGAGATTAAAAATATGCAGCTTAATGTTAAAGCTACATGACAGCAGCAAATGAAGCTGGTTAGTGTTTTATTGTATGTCGGTTTTCATGATTTAAGATGCATAACTTTATTCCTTAGAGAGATGCCCAATATCTGTTCAGCCTGCAAGTAAATATTAGGTTAATTTTTAACTGAGCAGGGCCAGGGAATGGTTGGCAGGTGGCAGGGGAAGTAAACAGAGAAACCAAGTCTCTTAAGTTCTCTGTTTAAAAGGTGTCATTCAAGCTGCTGCAAGATTGCCTGATATGTGTAAGGAGTCATAGTGTGTTCAACCTGTGTTGAACTTTGCCTTATGCAAGAAAAGAACTTAGGCAATGCAGTTTTATGATAATTTTTTCTTTTTTTTCCCCTTTTGATAAAAACGTTGCTGGCATACGTAGATACACATCCACACAGCACTTCTGTGTGTGTGTGTATATGGGGAGTAGAATGAAAATAGATCAAAAAGAAACAAAATATATTGATCTCTAAAAGTTATGGACTCTAAGTTTTTTGTGGCTTCAAGTTTTCCGAAAGTTATTTTTGAACTCTATGTGTAGACATAACTACATGGATAATTTACAAGGGTAGAGATTCCAAGCACTGGAAATACTTACCTGGAAGTTATTTTGAAAATTAAATTAAGTAGATTATTAAATAATTGCCTACCCAGCAGAAAGATCATCATATAATCTGTTCCATGTATGCATTTCTGGTTTATTAGTCAGAGCCTTTAAGTTCAGTATAGGCCTCCTGGGGCAAAAAGCAGACACCTGTTTAGGCACCTGGAAAATATGGTGATAAGTGCATTGAAGATGCTTGCAACAGAGTGAAGTAAATAAAGATGTTGATTCGCATATATGGTTCAGATGATTCCAGTGCTAATGCACAATTAAATTCCCTGTAGGCTCAGTGTTTGTAATGCAAAGCTGTGCTCTGGGTGTGGTTGTTTGAAGATAGGGAGATAATAGAGTTCTGGAACAGCAATGTTGTGTGTTTGACTGGGAAGCCGAAGTACGCGCTCAGGGACTCGCCAGCTGGTGCGTACTTGCCTCTTCGAAAATGTGAGCAACTCTTCTGTAACTCCTCTGCCACACTTTTTTTTGTTTGTTTGTTTTTGCCCAATGGCAGTCAGGAATATATTATATAAATGTTAAGCTCCTCTGTAGATCAGCAAAATGGAGCAGTGACTCGAGCCCAGCCGCGTCAGTGGTGCTGCACAAGAGGTCACATCGCAAACTGTACCACTTAAAACCAAACAAGCTTAAGACGTGCTATGCTGTTGACTTCATGTATATTCAAACAGAGCAAAGCCACAAATAAGAGGTTCCATAATGATAGATTTTTCAGGAGTCTGAAACATGATGACTTGACTTGGTGTCTTACTTGTGCTGTAAACCACTTTTAGGAAGTCTCAGTTGAAGTAAGGAGGCAAGCAGAGGATATAAAGGAAGACGGGGAGCGTATTTTATCTAATGTTAATGATCTGGATGAAAGGAACTGCACTGTGAGGTAAGCATTTCTTAATCTCTGGCTTTAAGAGATTTCTTATTAAATCTCTCTGATCTGATGGTTTTTTTCTTCTTCTGACCCAAACTGGAAGTTTTGTTGTGACGATTTCATAGTTTTTGCAATGCCTTTTTCCCTAATTTCCCTCCTGCTCTCCAGGTACTTCACCATGCATGACAGAATTAATGTTGGGACTGAAATTTTTGGGGGCTCTAGGGTGAGCATGAAGAAATTGTCAAGTGTTGAGTGTTTTACAGTTTGTTCAGAGCCAGATGGTTCTTATTGGTGTGCATGAAACGATTCAGATATTTTTCATTTATCAGTTACAGGTTTTTGATGGGGGGAGAGGGTGGGGATGGGAAGGGAATGCTTGAGGTTTCCCGAAAGAGTTTTCCAGTATTATCCTTGGCAAAGACAGCATGCTACTGGAGCACAGCAGTGCTGTGAATTGGACTTTTCTCTAGTTGTGCTTTTACAGAATGCAGCACATGAGCAGAAGCCACCAAAAGCTGTTTCCCCATTTGAACAGCTCAAATTTTCTCTCTTAATCCATGTTTTAATTAAATTCTATGCCATTTTCAGACCCATTTCAAAAGTATGACTGTATTGACAATGCAGTTATAATCCTTAATTGTCTAGTGTGCAGGGGTGTGCCCTCCTCTGGCCCTCAGGTTGTAATGAGAGTAGTGATTTCAGTGGTCGCTGTTACTGGGGCCGCTGAAGTGGCATGAGGCAGCTGAGCTGGGATTGTGCACACACTGCTGGACTGGGCTTGATAGCTTCTGGTTTTGCATCAGAGGAAACACGTGTAAGAGAGAGAGTTTCTAGGGGCTTTCCTCAGTTCTCTGTGTGCTATTAGTCTTTCAAGCAGAGAGAAAATTACAAACTGTAGCAAATGTCCTGTAGGAGTGACCGTAAAAGCTCATAAAAAAATTGTATTTATTTGTGGGTTTATGCGGCTGTGTTGTGCATTGCTTATGGCCCAGCCGAAGGGACCATCTGCTATTTCTTGAACTCTTTGTAGCCCTTTGTACTTAGTGTGGCGGTTTCCGAGCGAGTAGCCCAGGAGGGCGAGAGCTGCGCAGGCGC